GGGCTCAGGCAATCCACTCACCTCAGCCTCCCAAAGGCACGGGATTACAGGCTGAGCCACCGAACCCGGCTAAGAAAGACATACTTTGATATCCTATGTGAAGAACAATAAATGATTCATTTTCAGAAAATGGAGTAAGGTTTGCTGATGTGCCCAAAAGATAAGACAAAGGGAAGTCTGGTAATAATAGTCACATCTCAGGGAAATGAAACTTACATAGAAACAGGAAAACTGAAACCCTCCAATCAAATAGCACAAGTGCTTATTTTAACCTTATTTGGACCAAAAACTGCTTGGGCAGCGTCCAGGAAAAATTGTGACCACTGTATTACTCAGTCAGTGAGGAGGGGGCAGCACACTAGAAAATAAAAGGCTTGTTGTAGCTACCTTGGGTGCACCCACCCACCAGACACCCGATCTTGCAAGACCGTCATTAAAGTCTTGCTTCTGCTGGACTCCATGAGGGGTGAGTTCATTTCTCACACCATCTCTCCTTGGACCCATGAGGAGCTAGGATTGGGCTCCCTTGCTGCTGACCTGGTGTGGACCTACCTGCTTCTGGAAAGTGGGTAGGACAACATTATTTTTGACAAGCATCTTTCTCAATGTCTTGGGTGAAGTTTGCCCAAGCTAGGTGGCAGAATCTGATATCTGCTAAGAAGACCTGGCTCCTGGAACTTCCAGAAAGTCACATCAGCTGACAAGGAAGACCCCCACACAGTGTGACCGGGTCGGGCCATGATTCGGTCATATCCACAGGACAATGATGGAGCCACGTGCTTACAGGTGCCTTTGAACTGACTGTGAGCTGCAAAGATCTTTGATGATGTAATTCACTTTACTTTTGTGTGAATTTCCTGGGCAATTAGCTCTTGCAATGTTAGTTCTCAAAATGCCACTTTAGGGACCTGGCACAGTGGCTCACACCTGTAATCCCAGCACTTTGGGAGACCGAGGTGGGAAGATTGCTTGAGACTGGGAGCTTGAGACCAGCCTGGGCAACATAGTGAGCCCTTGTGTCTAAAAAAACACAACAACAACAAAACATTATTCAGACATGGTGGCATGTGCCTGTAGTCCCAGTTACTTGGGAGGCTGAGTTGGGAGAATTGCTTGAGTTCAGGAGGTTGAGGCTGTGGTGAGCCATGATTGTGCCATTGCACTCCACAAAACAAACAAAACAAAACCACCCCCAAACAAAAAGCCACTTTGTTGTGTGGTCCTTGCTAATGGTGGACTAGTTTGTTAAGGGCTGCCACAAAAAAGTACCACAGACTGAGTGGCTTCAACAACAGGAAATTAATTTTCTCATTGTTCTGGAAGCTGGGAATCCAAGATCAAGGTGGTGGCAGCAAGGTTGGTTTGACCTGAGGCTGCTCTCCTGGGCTTGTAGAAAATTTTCTCCTCCCTGTGTGTGTCTGTGTCCTAATTTCCTCTTATTTTTTTCTTTTTGAGTTGGATCTCATCTGCTGCCCAGGCTGAAGTGCAGTGGCATGATCACAGCCTCACCGCAGCCTCAACCTCCTGGGCTCAGGTGCTCCTTCCACCTCAGCTTCCCAAGTAGCTGTGACTACAGGTGTATGCCACCATGCCCAGCTAATTTTTTGATTTTTTGTAGAGACAGGGTCTCGGTATGTTGCCTAGGCTTGTCTTGAGCTCCTGGGTTCCAGCTTGTCTTGACCTCCTGGGTTCCAGCAATCCCCCAACCTTGGCCTCCGAGAGTGCTGGGAGATGTGAGCCACTGCACCTGGCCTAATTTCTTCTTATAAGGACACCAGTCATATTGGATTAAGGCTCAGTCGAATGGCCTTATTTTACAATGACCTCTTTAAAGATCCTAGTATCTCCAAATAGTCACATTCCGGAATACTGGCAGTTAGGATTTCAACATATGTATTTTGGTAGTGGTGGGGGGGGTGATACAATTCAGCTCATAACACTCACAAAATGCCAGAAGTGTTCCTCCTCATCCCCTGGTCATCATGACGACTAAAAAATACCACTCAGAGGGCTGGTACCACTGCCCACTTAGCATGACTCAACATGGTAATCACTTCAAGCAATCCCTGCTGTCACCCAGGCTGGAGTGCTGTGGCCCAATCATGGCTCATTGTAACCTCAACCTCCTAGGCTCAGGTGATCCTTAGACTAGTCTTGAAATCCTGGCCTCAAGCAATCCTCCCACATCCGCCTCCCAAGGTGCTGGGATTATAGGCATGAGTCACTGTGCCTGGCCAATTTTTAAAATGTTTTTTAGACTCAAGGGGTACATGGACAGTTTTGTTACATGAGTATATTGTATGATGGGGAGGCTTGGGCTTCTATGGAGCCTGTCACCCAGGTGGCAGACATGGTACCTAGTGGCTTTTCACCCCTCTTTAGAGTGCCCAGGTATCTGTTCCTATGCTTGTGCCTGTGTGCGTTCAGTGTTTAGCTCCCATGTGTGATGAAGAACGTGTGGTATTAAGTTTTCTGTTTCTGTGATGATTCACTTAGGATGATGGTCTCTCGCTGCATCCATGTTGCTGTAAAGGACACGCCTGTGCTCCTTTTTTAGTGACTGCGTGGTATTCCATGCCAGCCCTGTTTCATAGCCTGAAAAACTGAGGCGCAGAAGGGTCTCATGGCTTGTCTGTTGCTGTTCAGTGGACAAATGGCATCGCTGAGATTTGTAGTCTGCCTCCAATGGTTGGTTTCTTTCTTTCTTTTCTTTTTTTTTGAGTCAGAGTCTCACTCTGTTGCCCAGGCTAGAGTGCAGTGTGGCACGCTCACGGCCACGGCGGCCTTGTCCTGCTGGGCTCAGGTGATCCTTCAGCTTCAGCCTTCCAAGTAGCTGGAATTACAGGCGTGTGCCACCACGCCTGGCTAATTTTTTGATTTATCGTAGAGACGAGGTATCAGCATGTTGCCCAGGCTGGCCTCGACTGCCTGGGCTCAGGCAATCCTCTCGCCTCTGCCTCCCAAAGTGCTGGGATTATAGGTACTGCACCTGGCCTGGTTGGTCTCTTTCTATACCACCTGCTGTCTTCTGAGGGATTACCTGAATTCTCCCTGGGCACTCTGACTGTGTAGTGTGGTGTGGTTGGAATGGACATCTTGGGCTTGAGAGAGGAGGCCAGGGTCTAAGTTCTGGGTCTGGCACTAATAATCTTTGTGGCTTTCTTGGGACTGCTAGGATAATGCAGATGAGTGATGCTGAGGGCCAGAAGGCTCACTGCCAAGGTTGAAAGAATTCTGCATCTAAAAGATTCTGGATCTAACAGTAGGATTTACGGATGGATCAGATATGGAGCATGAGGGAAGAGAGAAGGAAAGAATAATTCCAAGGTTTTCAGCCTAAGCCACAGGAAAGATGGAGTCATCATGAATAGAAGTGGGGAAGAGATCTGCCTATATCCTTTTAAATTAAAAAAATTTTTTTTGTTGAGACGGTGATCTCACTATGTTGCCCAGACTGGTCTTGAACTCCTGGTCTCAAGTAATCCTCCTGCCTTGGCCTCCAAAGTGCTGGGTGTGAGCCATTGCACCCTTCCACTCTGCCTATATATATATTTTTTTGATTCAGAGTCTCACTCTGTTGCCGAGGCTGGAGTGCAGTGGTATGATCATGGCTCACTGCAGACTTGACCTCCTGGGCTCAGGTGAATTCTCTGCCTCAGTCTCTGGAGTAGCTGGGATTAAAGGTGTGTACCACCACACCTGGCTAACTTTTTAATTTTTTGTAGAGATGGGGTCTTGCGATGTTGCCCAGGCAGGTTCCAAACTCCTGGCCTCAAGCAATCTTCCCACCTGGGCCTTCCAAAGTGCTGAGATACAGGTGTGAGCCACCACACCCGGCCTGCCTATATTCTTGATTCTCAGCATTCCAGTGACTTCTGATAGCCAGCAGCTGCCACCAGGGTCCGGTTGATCTGCCACCAGACGTGGCAGGGAAAAAATTTCCTGGGATAACCCTCAACCAAAGCCTGGGCTTGGTGTATACACACCTCAGTTCTCTCACACCTCAGGGTAGATAACTCTGAGATGCTGGCTCCACGTTATCTCTCAGAGGTGGCCCAGGTTGGAGTATAGTGGTGTGGAGGTAGCTCACTGGGCTCAAGCAATCCTTCTGCCTCAGCCTCCTGAATTACTGGGACTACAGGCATGAGCCACTGTGCCCA